TATATATATTACATTTAGTATATCCATATAAATGTATACATCTACATTTATCTTTATGTCTATATGTTTTTCTCATACTTAAGGGGATCTTAGAGTTTGTACGTATTGTTGCAAAGTCGTTCTTTCTTACCTTCAATCGTCGGACATGAGAAGCGATTTATCGGCGGATTTAAAAGCGTTGCAAGAAGATCTTCAAGTGAAGTATGGAAACGACTCACCACTGTTAACTCGAAAGCACACCAGCGAATCAATGGGCGACGAAACATCGATATGTCGGAAGCCAAGCATAGGATATATGGAGGAGAATTACGCGACTAAACGGTAAAAATTAATTAGATATATGACTAAATATTATATTTATTTTTTATCATTGAGAATTTGTGCACTCTGTCTTGCATTTATTTGTTACAGATCGGGTAATAGTTATCTAACATCACACGAACGCTCGCTCGTGTTGCAAAATTCGGCCTCTTTAAGGATGATTTGGGAAGAATTGTTTCGATCTAGTCAAGCTATTCAATTGCAAACTCATAGAATTCGATTGAAAAATTATTACAATTGTTTCCTAGCAAGCGAATTGGTGAATTGGATGATAGCACAGAATAAAACAGCCACTCGGTACATATCCACAATATTAAATTGCTAAAGTGCTACAATATATTGAAATTACGATTATGACTTTCTTTTTTATATAGCGTGCAAGCGACTACGATAGGCCAAGCATTGTTGGAAGCGGGTTTCATCGAGTCCGTCGTCGGCGATAACGTATTTAACGATTCGGCGGCCATATTTAAGCCGGTGGAGTTGTCTTCCTTACAAAGTATAGATTTATTAACGGAAAAACGGACAGCATGCGATGCGCAAGAACCAGCATGGGTAAAAACTATTCCTCAGCATGATTCAACTACCGGTAATGCAACAAATTGAGATTTTTTTATGATGAGACAAACAGTTATTTAACGACAACTGACTCGTTCCGCATAGATTCCGAAAGTGAGACGAAACCTACAAACTGCTCGCAATCACAAACTTTCTGTCGTTTGCCATCATCCAGTTCGAGTTTTTACTTGGATTTAAATCTTGAAGCATCAACCGTTACATTAAAAAGACCAACGTCGGAAGATTTGACTGCGATTTCCGTGGACAGTAGCGATGGAATAATCGAACAGAAAGAGATCAATCTTAAATCGCACGATTGTAATCACAAGATATGTGATGATCTGTTAAGTGATACGCTTCAAGTGCACGAGTTCAAAGAAAAAAATGGATGGCACAGAGCGACCAATCTGAGAACAGCCTTCGGCGAATTAAGCGCGTATGAGTGTTTAACGTAAGTTCTTTGGAGTATATTTAATAGTTAATATTAATAGTAACAATAATATAAAAAGGAAAGTAAGCGATGTAGTAAAAGCGATGTTTGTTGATCTCAGGGCCACGTATAAAGCGCACGAAGATTCTCTCATTAAGCAACTTCTTAGCAAGGAAGGCTTGTCGCAAACGTGGTCAAATACGATTCTGTCCATCGCGCATCAGATAGTCGACCACGTCCGACCAGATTTGAATCATGATGCTGATAATCTAGATATTCGACAATACATACAGTTCAAAAAATGTCCCGGTGGTAGCAGGGATGATTGCAATATTGTATCTGGTGTGATTTGCAGTAAGAATGTCGCTCATCGTTGTATGAACGCCATGATCGCACATCCAAAGATCTTATTATTGCAATGCGGTTTAATGTATCAGCGTGTGGAGGGCAAGTTGATAAGTTTGGAGCCTGTAATGTTGCAGGTACATGACAAATTTTTATCACATTATTTTTAATTAATTTAGTTCTTATTATTTTTAATTGATCAATTGATATTTACTTCTTTGATATTTATTTACTTAAAAATGTCGCTCTACGATATTTTAATTTCTTCAACACAAATCTTGTTAGGAAAGCGAATATTTGGGACACACAGTGGCGAGAATTACCGCCCTGGGTCCAGACGTAGTACTCGTGCATCGTTCCGTAGCTAGATTAGCTCAGGACAGGCTGAGGGAATGCGGAGTGACATTGGTTCTCAACGTAAAACTTAGCGTACTCAAAAGAGTAGCACGATGCACAGGTGCTAGTATAGTAAACACTATAGACGCGCACATAAGTGCGAGATATATGCTTGGCACGTGCAAGAAGTTTTATTTAAGAAATTTTCCAGATGAGCAAAGCAAGTAAAATATATATAATTAATAAAAATTTTTCTGTATCAAGTTAATGAGAAATTTAAAACATGTGGCACATAACAAGAGGAAAAGATTATAATTAAGAAAATGTTATATGCCATGTTTTAAATTTTTCATCAACTCGATAGATCCAGAAAGAGAGAATTTGATTGATTTTGCAACTTTAACTTTTAGGAAGCGTCAAGACATTGATGTATTTCGAAGGCTGCGCAAATCCGCATTTGGGCGCGACGATTTTATTGCGAGGCGGCTCGCAGACTGAATTAAAGAGAGTAAAAAACGTTACATCGATGATGATTTTTGCGGCTTACTCGTGGCGTCTCGAAAAATCATTTCTCATGGACGAGTTCGCTAAACCGCCGTCGCCCAAGAATAATTCATTTCTGGATGAAACATTGCAAAGAGATTCTTCAAATGGGGAGGAACCCGCGAAATTCGAAAATCACGTTATCGATGAATATACGCATGCAATCGATACAAAGAGATTGTCGAAAATGAATCAAGATTACGAAGATACACTCAACGATGAGCAAAGTGTACGGAATACCAAGTCGCACAATTCAAATATATCCGTAAAGAATGAAAATCTTCATTTCTCTGAGAATATTTTAAGCGTAGATTCTCTGAGGGAAGTATCCTCGATGCTGTCCGAGGATTCTGATCCTTATGACACATTAAAATTATTTAAGGCAAAATTAAAACCATCTTTAAGCGATTCGAAAGTGTCAGCACCTTGTGAGAATGATGCGATAAATTTAACAAATTGTAACAATGTTAAATCGGAGAACAATACTATGGACTTTGTTTCCGATGATACGGAGGAACATAATAATTCCATGACTGCAAACAAGGAGATAAAATATGTCGAGCAAAAGACCGAAGAACTTGTCGACAAGGCAAAGTCAAAGGACAAGATATCTTCCGAAGAGAAACGCATTTACGGGGAATCCATAAGCGATCGAAGCGATCCGTTGCATCAGTATTTAAATGAGGATGATGAAGACGTGTTCAACCGTAATAGCCCGAACGGTCAACGTCTGAGCGTTGCCGATTTTCCGTTATTCAACAAATTTAAGAAAGCGCTCGAAGACACCGTCCTGAGCGTATCGCCGTATCTAAAGTTTTCTATACCCTATCTAGAAACCGAACTCGGCAGAAATTGCGTACTGAGGAGCTTTTTCCCACGGGAGATCTATTACTCGGCGCAATTTCTCGACAAGATCAAGGACATTCGAGCGAATAGCGTGAACGAACAGCTCGCGTCCGAGAATCGCGAACGGGCAAACAGTATTAAGTTAAAGTCACATCATCCGTTCGTTCAGATGCGCCTGACTACGGATGTTGATAATCGCGAAGTGCAAAGTCTCCTGGCGAACTTTCGCGCATGCGGAAGCAGACTTTATCCGACGTATAACGTGCTGGGTAAGTACCAGCCATCAATGATATTGACCGAGAACAACGAGCAGCAGATCTCCTCGTGGCCGGATTGTCTAGACCCCGCCAGTCATCAACGTCTTTCCGTGCTGTTTTGCAGTTTTTCGCATACTGGCAATGATACCCCGGCGTTTTGTGTGAATCCTTGGGTCGTAAACATGATGATGTATGGCCAAAACGACATCGCACTCGGTCGTTTCCTGGAGCGTTATTGCCTGACGACGGAATACAAATGCCCGGCGCAGGCTTGCCGTGCACAAATCGCTCAACACGTTAGACGATTCGCACACGACGGCGGCTGTTTGCACATCAGTCTCAATGAGATGAGTTCCGAGCCATTTGTACAGGAGAATGCCGATCATCAGATCTTGATGTGGAGCAAATGTGTAAAATGTAAAAGTGTTTCGCCGGTGGTACCGATGTCGGGCGACACATGGTGCTTGTCGTTCGCCAAGTATCTCGAGTTACGTTTCTATGGCGGCGTCTATACGAAACGCGATGGCACAGACGCGTGTCAACATTCCCTACATTACGATCACTATCAGTACTTTACGCGCAAAAACATGCTGGCCGTATTCAAGTTCACCAAGATCTCGCAGTGGGAGATCTCGCTGCCGCCGCCACTAATCAACATCATCTACGATCCAAAGCAGCATGCCAACGTGATTGAGGAGATGAAGAGCGTGGCGTTAAAGGGTGATGACGTGTTCTCGGCGATCAGAGAAAAACTGATGGGCTTGCAGACGGACTTGGATAGCCTGAACCTCGCCAAGCAGCAGTTGAATAAGGATCAACAATATTTCAAAAACAAGATCGAGGAGATTCAGCTCAAGTTAACCTCGCCGACACTGGAGAATAAGAAACTCGAGGGTAAAGTGTCCGAGAAGCAAGTACAGGCATTGATGTTTAGGATTGAGGATGGCATCGTAATCCTCAAACGACTCATCTCGGAGGCCGTGTTTACGTGGAACAGTAAACTGTCGGAGACGTCGGTCAAAAAGAAAGACGAACGACCGCGCCGGTTCACTGAACGATCAATGACGGCTGGCAGCAACAGTATAATCGACACCGATGGATACATAACTGAGGATACCGCGTCGGAGTCGCAGATCGAAGACTCGAGTCCTATGTCGGCCGATTATAACGCCATCGACGCAATCGCAGCGGTGCAGAGTGACTTTCAAACGTCCGAATTGATCGAGAATTCCGATAACGAGCTCTTGGAATCTGCCAATAATCCCGACGAAGTCATTACCGTTCAAGATGCATCACCCAAGATGCATCAGAGATCGCATTCCGATGTTTTTCCGCTGTCTTCTGACGATATGACCGATAAGAAGAAGAAGAAGAAGACAATCTTGTCTCAGTTGTTGCCGTCCGCTTCTGTGAATCACACAATACCGAATCCACTAGGAACTTTGGAGCACTATCTATTGCCGCTCGGGTATTTTGAATTCAATTTAAATCTCGCGCTATCTTTATTACGCGTCGCACAATCTATAACTTTAATAATTCGCACTTGTACATTGCAGATCGGTAGTACCTATAGTGGTCTACGAATCCGAGCTTTCGTCCATAATTGCGTATGCCCTGGATTCGCACGATTACAAGCATGCGTTGCAAGAATTATTGCGTGCGGCAAAAGGTTCGGACTTCAATCCTAGTCCGTTGAGCAAACGTAAGTTTCCAGAGGGCAGGGACAGTTCGCTCGATCTGGCGCAATCGGGCGAGTTCAAGCGGCCATCCGTGCTATCCTTCTTTCGCGGTAACAGTCCCAATCCTGCCAGTAGCCCTGTCGAATCTGACAAGAACGTGTTGAGCGCGGAATCGTCCGGCGGCGCTGTCGGTCCCATCGACGTCGACGACGATAAGAAGGCGATAAAGCAACAAAACTACATCGAGGTGCAGTTCAACGACACCACGACCAACTTCTTCTGCAGAATATACTTTGCCGCGCAATTCGCCGCTTTGAGAGACAATGTTCTGCCCTACGGCGAAGATGGTTTTACAAGAAGCCTTAGTCGAAGTATACAGTGGGCTGCGAGAGGCGGAAAGAGCGGCAGTACCTTTTGCAAGAGCAGAGGTGTGATTGATTATCACTTCAAATACTTTATTGAGTATTTAATTACCGAACTGATCTTTACACATATATGTGTGCGATCTTTACATACTTTCCGTTGATATAAATATGCATGTTTTTAAAAAAATATTTTCCATTTAATTGTGCATTTTTTACTAATATTTCTCTTTTTTGCAGACGATAGATTCATCATAAAGGAAATGTCTCGACTCGAGATGCAAATCTTTCTCGATTTCGCGCCCAACTATTTCGCCTACATGGAAAAGTGTCAACAAACCAAACAACCGACGTTGCTGGGCAAGATTGTCGGCGTGTACAGGGTGTCGTTTAAGAACAACACAACTAACGCGGCACTTCGTACAAGCGTGTTGGTGATGGAGAATCTGTTTTACAATCGAGTCATCACCGATAAGTTCGATTTAAAGGGATCCGTGCGGAATCGACTTGTGAATCCAGACGATACGTGCCACGAGGGTGAACTGGTCTTGCTGGACGAGAATCTATTGAATAGTATGTATCGCTCTCTTTTCTCCGACTATTTACGAATAGATGAATTGTTGCGCAAGATATTAAACGAACGCGTTTCACGTTATAGTGAGCTGCGATTCTCCTCTGTATATCAGATCGCATTCCAAGGCGGTATTAAACCGAGCCATCGAACAGGACACCAAGTTTTTAGCGGACAACTCTGTAATGGACTATTCGTTATTAGTAGGCTTAGAGCCAGGCTCCGACGAGCTCGTGCTCGGTATAATAGGTAAGCGCGATTCTATATATTGTCGTCCTCTCTTTCTCTCGTGTCGAAAGATATCGATCTTATGCATTGTTATTATCTCTTCCAATTGATAGATTATATAAGAACGTTTACTTGGGACAAAAAACTGGAGACTATGGTGAAGAAATCTGGTATTCTGGGAGGCCAGGGTAAATTACCAACGATAATATCACCGGAGGAATATCGCGCTAGGTTCATCGCCGCGATGCATCGTTACTTTCTGCCTGTACCGGACAGATGGTCGGGTTTAGGTAGAAGTGTCGAAATACCACCGGAATAAATGTGATTTAAGATTTCAGATACGCAATTTTATATGCAATAATTACGTAATCGCTGTACATATATACTTTTTATTCATAACGCGAAAATGTAAGCGCGTAGCATAACACGCTCGCTATAACATTTTATACAGTGATCAAATACTCGAGAAGTATTGACAGTATAAGTGATACCGATATAGTTACCAGTTTTAAATACATCTTATCGCTACGTAATATAAATTAATATTCTAATTTGTCGCGCGTAGGTAAGTAAACTTTCAATTATATTTATAAAAAATTATATACGCTTACGTCGTATCATTGTCAAAATGTATATAATAATTCTTTTGTAATATAATTTAAAAGCAGCTGCTTTCGCTCTCAAATTCTAAAGTACAAAGGTATTAGTGAAACTAAACCACGAGGCTAAGAAAGCACCAATATTCATATTTTATTTAATTCTCCAAAATTATGTACACGACCATTATTTATCCTTGTAATAGTCAAATAAACAATAATTATAATTTCAACATAGTAAAACATTTTCATTCTCGTCGACATTGTTTTATCTTAAATACAGCCTACACATATTACACAAATATAAGGAAGGTATTAAAGCGTGTACCTTATTGGAAAAAATATTTCGCCATACTCACAAAGTTCTCTTTTCTTCTTACAACTAATATCTACTATTATTTACATAAACGCGCATTCACAGAGATAAAGCTATATATTCGACGCCTGGATACTCGAATTTCGATCGCATGATTGAAAATTAAATTACCTAGTTAAACATGGATTCTGACTTTGTCATTACTTTCATCGACATCACTATTACGATTACAAATAAAAAAAAATTGAATATTGTATTGCATTCGTAAAGACACTTTGCCGTCAGATATATATAAATCGATTATAAAGAATAAAGAATTCTCTATTATCACTTTAATTGGAAAGAGATTTCTAAAAAGCTATAAAAAGAGAGAAAATTATAAAATCGCTACTACAACGAATAAATAGAATCTTAATGAAAACAAATATATCCCTATAATATAGATGCTTGTCCATCTATGTTACGAGAAATGTAATGACAGATATAGAATTCGATATATTCCGGGGGGAATATCGATATACAACTATGATATCAGGTAGAATCGTATTGCCAGAGCTGCCATACAAGAGCATTTGTAAACATTGTGAAGTTGCATAAAAAAATCAAATATTTTCTAGTTCTGTATTCACACATATAGCCGACACAATAATCGACTCGAGAATTCTTTACCACTTATGATGACAGCAAAATGGACTGGAAAAAGACACCAGGTATATTATTATTGACGCGTCAATTGTTCGAGCTATTATACTCTATTATTCGGATTTTATTTTAGTTACTTTTTACTTGTAATTAATTACTATATGTAAAACCAACGCGTTACACACAATTCGGGACAATCTTTTTACAAAATTTTTACACGGTAAATCTTCATTTATTATACTTAGCCTGATATTTATACCATCGAAATATCAGTACGCTTATGGAAACGGAATAAGGGCGTTCGCGTGAATAACTATAAGCATTATTCTATTTTAGGAAAACAGTAAAAGGATCATAAACTAAGTCGAGTTCCACGATTCAAAAATGAATATCTTCGGTGCAGCCTTGTCTTTTACCTATGTTGAAAATACGCGGTTTTCTCATCATTTTTCGCGAAAAAGTGTGCAACAAAGATTTTTCAAGACGAGGCTCGAAGAAACTCTCGCAGTTTTTTTTTTGTACTGTGACGTGGAAGTGATAGCGAAAATTCGTTGCCTAGTCTAACGGTGGTGTATGGTGAATCCTAAAGAAACAGCCACTGTTTATAGTATATAGGGACGCAGGAAGTTGGATTTCGGAGTAGGAGAGCCATTCTTACAATGTAATCGTTCAGGATTATTATCAATGTCTTTTTGACCATTTCGGACCTACGGTACGTACGGTCCCGGCGTGTCAGAGAAAAGAGAAGAAAATTCTACGGTGTAATTTTCACCTTTTCTCCTCACCTTTTCGTGTATATGTGTGTATACCTGTATATGTGTGAGTGTGTGAATGTGTATCAGATTCTTTGACGCGCCATTCTAAATTAGATGATCTCTCGGAGAAGCCGGAAAGGGAACCAAGCAATAGAGATGCGTATCATCCCGTGATACATAACGTAAACGGGTCTCGTTGAGAAAATCGATGCTTGCAAACTCACTCGCACATTACACAGATATAATACACACACACACACACACACACACACACACACACATCACTACCACCGCATCACACATTGCTATTATCGTGCGCGGATAACGTAACAATTCAATAGCCGGTTCCAATCCAATAAAGATATTTTTCCCTGTAGTTTCCCCCCCCCCCCCCTCTTCCGGGAAGGACGCGTTTCTTCTCGGAAAAAATGAATTTTTCTCTTCCCCATGCGTTCAACCGTTCTCGACTCTCTCGTTCCATGCTCGGAGCATCACTCGCGCTCCGGAAACGTTATCGCGCGTCATCTACGTGACATTTCGCGCTCGCGACTAGCACAGTCACTCTTATCTCTGTGGCTCGCCCAGGCCAAATTGCGTCTGTTGCGGCTGCGTCTGTTGCTGCGCCACATTGCCCGATGCGCTACACCGACCGCTGACGGCATGATGCTGCACGACACCCGATGTCGAGTTCGCTTGCAATCCGTTCTGGTTCGGGGACATGCCTGTAACAGATACCGGTATAGGCATTTATAAATAAGTAAGGCAATACCGTAGAGAGAATATACATATATCGTAAATTACTTTATACCACACGGCGTTTTGTTTTCTTTCCAATTACATAGTACGATATAATCTATCCTGACATCTTATCGATATTCGCAAAAAAAAAAAAAAAAAAAAAACCGCAAATGAAGAAAATGATACATCACAAAATTGATTGTTTCTCTTTTACAACGATTGTTAAAGCTACATATAATATTGCCATAATCGACAGCTCTTACCCGATGGAGTTTTTTCACCAGCTGACATTTTGGAAAACGCCAGCAGCGCGTCCGGGAAATTTGGTGGAGTGGCTGGTGTGTTGCATGGTGTTATCTGCAAATATAAGAGGGCGATCTTTCTTTATAATCTTGTGGAAAGTTGGATTAAGATGAATTGACAGAAATTTAATTAGCGAAATTGCACTTTCAATTTTAAAAATCTTTAAAATAAGGAGTTTAATTGTGCTAGGTGAAATATACTGGGAATTAAACAAATAGCTTTTAATTTTTTTTCATAGAGTGTAGTAATGTAAATCAATTTGTGCAATGTAAAATAATAAATTTGCTGTACTTTGGTTTTAAAGAAAAATTATTCAATTCTCTTAAAAGAACTAAAAAGAAAAATGAGAAAGAAAACAGAGGAAATCTTTGTCTACATTAAATCTTTATAATTAGATAAGGTAATCTCCTTCCTCTCCTATCGTATTATTTTATCCTTTTATGTTATCTATTTTATATAATACATATTAATTTAAATTTTCTCAAAAAGCAAGAAACTATTCCTAAATTTTATAAGCGATGTACACGTTAAACACTTTCCTTTTTTTAATTAAATAATATTTCAAATTGTAAAACATATTTATTGAGAAAAATACAAACCGGTATAAAAAAAAACAAAATGAGCTTGTGTGTACTTTGGACCGAAAAGATTAGATCCAACAAAGTGACGGAAAATTATCAGGCCTCTGAAAGACGATTAGCTACAATGAGTTCGTTGAACTTTCGACTCCTGTATGTGACGTCGGGTAGGCAGGTAGACGGGTGCGGTGATCAAAGAATACAAGGGCAACACGTGTATAGTGTAGGCAACGACCACCAGCCGTGATGATAATCCGCGGCCGATAAGCGGCTATTAAATAACACTCGCCATTCACGCTCTTTCGCAAAGTTGATCTTGTTGCTTTCATATTTTCAACATTTTATTGAACGAACTAGAATCTGTCGAATGCCTCGTTAGACTAGATGATCGAGCACATATTTCGATAGCCTCAGCTCTACTATACTTAAATTGAGTAATAAAATATTACAAAGGATTATTCATATGAAATGTAGGATACGCTTTGACGCTATGTATATATCTCACTATAAAATGAATAAACCATTTTGCTTCTACTTTTTGCTAGAAGTAATTTTTGCATTTCTACTATTGTGCGATTCAATCATTTTGCAAGAAAAATGAAAAGTGAAAGGACTAAATATACGGAGTACGTTCCTTCGCTCGTTCGATTCGCGGAAAATTGCAGATTCTGAATCTTGCAATTTGTGTGATTCCCGCTTTTTTAAATTCTATATTTTCATCACACTTGCAAAGATTGTTTTTGTTTATTAAATAAATATTTAAAATTTTTCTGTACAGATTTCCCAATATTTTTCAAATTTAAACTTTAAATTAATGTACTTGAATTAGATAAACTTGAAACAGAAAAAAAAAGCAAAATCAAATATATACAATCCAGAGCCATATATTCCAGCCATATATTTTTATATAATTAATGAAATACTTTTGTTCTTTTAAAGTTGAGTAGATTATGAAAGTAGCGTGCGAGATAGATGGACAAGTCTGAATCGATTAAAGGGCAGATGTGCTAATAAAAAAATAAAAGAGCTGAGCATCTGGAGGCAGTGTACGTCCGTCGTCCGTCCCGTCCAGTCTTGCGAATCGAGATTTGGCACACAACTTATCGGAATGTGCCGACCGAGAATAGTAACTACACCTACCACTAGCGACTGTTTGTCGACAGCGGTTCTCCTTTGTGTCTTGTCTCGAGATCGTATCACCATCATCGTTTTAGTTTGATATCACGAGCTAAATGAAGAAGTCGATGATCTTGATATCTTTCTGTGTGCTATCTTTATAATTGGTTTTCTTACTGTTCGTTTAATCAAATTTCCATGATTTCTTTATTAACATTATTTAAAAACTTCTCGGGAAAGGATATAATTATTTTTATTATTATATGACATTAACATTCTTTCCATTAATAACCGTTAAAATCATTAATCTTGGTATTGTCAATTTTTTTTATTCGGCATTTTGTTAATACGTGTAATTTTCCCGCTGATAATTTTTAGGAGACTTGAAAGTTAAATTCCAATCCAATGTATAAAGTTATTCCATGTTAATATATATTCTGAGGATATAAAATACGAGGTGAAATTTGAATCATTTTTCTGCTTTTCGTCGTTTGATATTATAAATCTATCCCCAAAAGCGAAAGAAAAAGATTATAACACAGGTCACAATGCGGTAATTTTGCCAGGGAATGTCGTAGTAATATATACAGTGTGTTAGATAAAATAAATATATTTAGTGAACAGAAAGTTTATTTTCTTCGAAAGTTAACACGATTCATTGTCAAATTCAATCAAATGATCACGCTATTTCGTAGTTTATAAAATCGCTTCGGTTTTTATTATTTTATTATATTTTTGTATTTTTTTAAGCGCAATGTAACTAAAATTTTTATATTAATCAG